AGTGTATGAACTCTGGATACACGCTGGGCCTGAAGTCTGGTTTTACTCTGTGTAGTGCTTCATGTATCGTACTCTGCATTTATGCTGTTGCCAGACATCACTCAGAGGTTTGGAAGTAACTACATATTTGGCTCCAGTGGATAACTGTTATGGATATTGCTGGGGTCAGGAGTTGGTGGTTCTCTCTTCCATGTGCTTCAGTCCTCTCAAGTTATAACCTTACTAGCTAGTAGCTACCTTCATTTTGTTCTTCCAAGAGCTTTGACTGGCCTATTATTAATTTGTGTTGTTTTGTATTGATGCTCTTGCAGGTATTACTACACAACATGAAATGCCAGTAGTCTACAGTACAAATCATTTTTTGGAAATTAGAGTGAGAAACAAGCGAAAGGATACGCAGTGTTTCATACTGCTGCGTAACATCATTTTCTCAGGGGAATTGTGTTTTTGCTGAAAATGTACACTTGTGTATAACCTGACTAACAATTACATCATAATTGTATTTCTATAAATCCAGTTAAGATGCTCCTGTGTTATGACAAGAGTAAGGATTAAGGGATTATTTTACATTTCAGTTTATCTGCCCCCTCCATCTTTTTCACTTCCTCCTCAGATGTTAGGAAATGCTAAAATTACACCAAGAGATGAAACCACAACAATTACTTTGTTCACAATATTACTGTACTAAGGCAAGGATATTGAAGGACAGGAATTTTCAGATTACAGAAATGCTTTATTCTCTTTTCATGATTCATCCATAAGTGTGTTTATTAATCCCAACATGAGTAAATGTATAAAACCATACATGTTTGATGAAAATCCCTCATAGCCTAAATACTGGAATGCTACTTCCATGTTCTGTTCAGGTCATAAAGGATTTACAATGGCTACAATTCAGCATTTGGGGAATTTAGCATTGCCTTTAGCAGTATTCTAGTCCCCCTTCTCTCTCTGATCGAGAGCTTGGAATTATAAGATTCTATCTGCATTTTTGTCAAGAATTGATTTATTGACATAGCCTGGTTCTCTTTGATGGTCTACCTATATAGTATACTACCTCTTAATACTCCAATTCATGTTAAGTTAAAAAAGTTAAATTACTCTCACCATTAAAACCAATGAGGGTTTAGAACTTTAAAGCCAATTATCTCTGAATAATTATGTGCAAATAGAACCTTATAATTGTAAGGTCACAGGATTATGTTTCAATTATATATATTTTTCATACTACAACAAACCTGGAGAAAAACCTTCTGGGCGATTCCATGTAAAGGTCAACCTGAAAGTTAGTCATTTCCAAATGAAACCACGTTCATAATTATCCCTAAGTTCTATATGTTGGAGTTCAGGCTTTATTTGAAAAGCTGTCCCCCAGTGTTAGTTATGAAGATGAGATGTTAATGAAGCAATACACACCAAATTTAAGTTGTGCTTGCATGTACTTCAGTCTTGTTAAGATAGGGGGTTGACTGGTCCAGGCAATGTAATGTCCATGAGGTTTTTTAGGAAAAGTTTTTGTAAACCATGCACCTTACATCAGGTCATCTTGAAACTTGTAAAGCTAACTTTCATCAATGTTTTATATCGTATATAATTGGTTTCTCTCTTTTCATTGTCAGTATCCTTTATCAGCATTATGATATCCGTAACATACATAACAGTTATGGATGTGATGGATATTGATGTATCATATCTTAGCTTCAGAAGCTTGGGCATTGTTTGTTCTGGGATGTATTCGTCAGACTTTTACTGAAGCAGTTGTTGATATCTTGAAATGTATGTGTTCTAGTATGCTGAAATACATTTCTTAAACATGGCAGTACTGTTTTTTAGATAGAAAGATAAGAAGAGTGTTTATCAACAATCTGTGAATGAAAGCACCTCAAAATATACTGACTTCATCCAATGTACAGAAAAGTGGATTGGCAGTATAGACACATGTATATTGTCTCATCTGCATATTTTGTTACAATATTTCAGAAAAATTGTAATACATATTTTATATATATATATATATATATATATATATATATATATATATATATATATATATATATATATATATATTTATATTTGTGTATTTATTCAACTGGTAAAGGTTAATTTTTATATGTATAAAGATAACAAAAATATATTAGGGTGTGGTGCCTGGCCTTGTATATTATTCAGGCTACCTGTAATGATGCAATCCTAAGGTACTATGCCTTCTGCTGACAGAATGTTTGAAAAACATTCCAAATAAAAACAAATGTGTTACGATAGATTTTGATAATGAAATCTTTAAGATTTGAATGTCTATTTCAGACTCTATAACATCCATAACGAAGGGTGTAACATCCATAATGGTTGTTTTCCCTCTCTAGAGAAATAATGGAAATTATAATCTTTTCAAAATGATTGTTTTTGTGTTCAGCCTTTCCCCTCGAAATGTCAATCCATGTTTTGACGTAAGACTTACAAACTCACAGACTTTTGCTAATATGTTAAGTCTCCCTAAAAAGCTTGTCCATTACATGTAACATCCAGAACGCTTCTTATTCGATTTATTTCTCCAACATATCAATATACACTCTCCTCGAAGGGTACTATAGACACACACATCAAAAGTTATATTTATATTTTGTTTGTCCATTCTGTGAGACATTAAAGTTGTGATTTTGCGTGGAAATGTATGTCCATAATGCTGGAATCTCCCTTCTCTAGCTCTTTGTCATGGTCCTTCGAGACGGATTTGACCCGTTTTCAGCAATGCAGTCTTGTAGACCAGGGGTACTCATACTATTTGAGACGGTCCGGTCACACAAATTTCCTAGGTGGCAAAGGTCCGGATGGATATTGTAATTTATCGGCATAGTAACAAACCCCCACCTTACGACCCATGTGACCCCAAACTGTTCAAACTGTTCACACTCCTCTTGTTGGCGGAGATACAATTTTGCAATTTTAAAGCTAATTTCCTGCAATTCTACACATTTTGCCATGTCTTATGTGTGTTCATATGATACCATATGACTCAACAAAATCAATGGGGACCCCCTGGTGGTCAAGGCCCGTGGTCAGGTAATCTGCCCATGATAACTACAAGATTTAGATAGCTGTTTAGCCTAACTTACCTACCTAGCTAACATAGGCTAGTTGATCAACTGGAAATTTGACAGGTTATAAATAGATCTCTAAGGTCTGTCAGTGAATGTGATAACGAGGAAAACTGACCATGCACTACTAAATTTCTACTATTCAAACTCTCAACAGCAGAACGTCAGGACCTGTGGTCCGTATTGACCCTGTTCTGGGTCCGGATTTGGACCGTGGTTCTCCTATTGAGTATGGCTGTTATAGACCATAGATTTTGTGCATTTCAGTGTGTTAAATGTCTTTAGACAGCTGTGGGTGTAGAATCCAACTAGAGAATGGTAGAGTCAGGCATGTGTTTAGACAACAGGTAAACCGTTGAAAATTGAGAGTGAGTCTGATTGGGACTGCAGTAGAGTACAGTGGTACTGATCAAGACCCTCTCCTACAATTTCACCCCACTAATCCTGCCTTCAGCCCAGGGAGGGGGACTTCTTACTGATGTTAACTCTCTGTCTGCTCCTGTTTTAGCCCCTCAGCGTTGAATGATTTGCTGTGAAATAAGTGTTCCCCGTTAGTAATTTACTCCCCAGTTTGCTTGAATGGAAACTAACTCAATCATTGTCTGGGATTGTTTGGGTTTGATTTGCTATCCCCTACCATCTCTCAGACAGGACTGTTATAGCTGGATCTCCTGAATCCTGTAGTGTGTGTTATTGTTCTTTGAGGAGGTTTTAACCCAGCTAGCACATTTGGTTCCTTGAAAGTTGTGGGAATGTACGTTTTTGGTTTCCCATTGGTTCTGGGAATGAAGCCATACGTTTCCTGACCGGTAAAACAGAACGTTTTTTAAACTTTATTTGAACGGAAGTGAACATTTAGCCTGTTCTGGTAATGTTTTACTATGGTTCCCTGAAAGTTATTCTGAGAGGTTTTATTAATGTTCAGAGAACGGAAATTATAGGTTATTTGATGGGAGTTAAATAACGTTCTGAGAACATGTTTCAATAAGACTTTTAATAAAACTGCTAGCTTAGTTTGGGTTTACTGTTTTGAACTACCAGCTCTCACAGTCTCATGTCAGAATTAGACGTTCATCCATGTTTCTAAAACGTGAAATTTTGAAGTTGTTCCAAACATCACATTTAGAAGTTTTTTAAGGTTAAGTTTAGGCATTAACTCCGAATTTTTAATGTTAGGCGTTAACTCTGAATGGTTAAGGTAAGGGTTAAGGTTTGGGATAGGCTTAAAACAAAAATATCAAAAACGACTTTCTATCGTTGGATTCAAACCTGCACGCTTTGAAACAGAGGCAGATGCTTACGCCCATCTGCCATCCCCATCCGCAAAACCGAAACCTACTTGAAGGTAACAGTGCTCACTGTTTCCACTAGTGGCCGGTTTCCATGTCATCGCCCAGGGTCCTCAGACATGGATGGACAGAATACTGACTTGTATCACGGGTGACCTGGCTGGTTTTGAACCAAGCACAGATAGGACACATGGACATGGACATTAACTCTCTCTCTCTCTCTCTCTCTCTCTCTCTCTCTCTCTCTCTCTCTCTCTCTCTCTCTCTCTCTCTCTCTCTCTCTCTCTCTCTCTCTCTCTCTCTCTCTCTCTCTCTCGCAAAGCACATGGAACATTATCATCACACCGTGTTTGTGTGTGTGTGTGTGTGTGTGTATATGTGTGACAGCCCGTAATCCCGGTGGAGGAAAATCATTCCCCCATCTGACCCATGTGTCACAGAGTGCAACGGGAATCCTCTTGGAAACCCACCTACGGCACACACTGGTGTGCACGTTACTTACAGAACACAAACACAAAGTATTTTTTTTCTATGGCCCTAGTTTTTCCTGGATTTCTCTAATGAGGTTACATGTATATGTGATAGTAAGTTTGACATATGTTTCTTCCCTCCACAGTTTCCTCATGGTCCTGGTGTGCCTTATCTTCAGTGTCCTGTCCACCATAGAACACTATGCTGATTTTGCCAGCGGAACACTCTTCTGGATGGTGAGTGGATTTGGGATGGATTTCATCTCCTCAAGTCAGTGACCTACCTTTGATTTTGTTTTATTGCAATACCATCCACATCCACATGATGGGAGTAGAACATCTTGAGTGGGACCCAGACTAACCGCCATCTTAAATTCAACTGATTTCAAGCCCAGTGTTCAACAGTATTATAAAAATAGTGAACTAATTAAATGGAAAGGGTCTATTTAGGTGCACAACTATATCTATTAGTCATTGGCATGCTTCAGAGCTTATTGCTGGAGGTTTTGGTTGATGTAGATTATATTGGCTACTCAGTGGTGTTACTATCAGTCCTACTCTCACAGGTAGGAACATACTGTTATGGGGCAGGATAAAGACTTTGCATCATCATTTTCCTCACAAAAACGCTTTGCATATAAACACACACGCATGCACACACACACCTCACCAGTGTGGGGACAATTCTCTAAACTTTTGGCCAGTGCCCTTTGGAGGATTCCCTGGCTGCTGAGTTATTCATTTATTTTCACCCTGGAAGAAGAGCTCTCCTCTCAGCAGCAGAAGACAGAGAGCTAGAACAGCAGGTAGAAACCCAGTGGGTAGGACAGAAGAAAGAGAGCTAGAACAGCAGGTAGAAACCCAGTGGGTAGGACAGAAGAAAACTATAACAGTTGAGCTAGAAAGCAGTAGTTACATTAGAGCATTAGAGTTACAAAACATTGTAACAAACATTTGAAACTCAAAACATGAGAATTACAAAACCTACAAGATAGTATTATTAAGGAAGACAGGTGGCAATGTCTTGAGGGCAATATTTCAGTTACTCAACTGTTCAACTGCATTTTATGTGCACCTGCATGTGTGTGTATGATGTAATTGTGTTTGTGTATTGCATATGTTCTCTGTGCGTGTGCGTGCACGTGTGTGTGTGTGAGAGTCTGTGTGATCATAGCACGTATTTGTGGTGGAGTGGCTATACTTAGCGAGTTCAGGGTTAGCTGACATCCATGAATCTGTGTGCTTGTTTTGGATGGCAGAGAGGACATTAGTCCTTAAGGATATTTGGCTTTCAAAGCAGCTGCCAAAGTAAAGTTAGCCAGGCTCAGCAGGGCGTACCGACATCATCACGTGTCACACGCTCTAGTCTCTCTTTCCTTTCCACTCCTGTCCTGTCCTCCAGTCTACTCCAGGTCCACTGATGTCACAGCTATGTGGCACAGTGGCACCACCAAACATCTGATCAGAAACTGGCCTCCACCATCATTCCACCATATTAACACAGAGCTCCCGCAAACATTTCCGCACAGCCCAATCCATCTCCAATCCATCTAATCACATTCAAATTGCTCATACCCAGGCCTATGAATCAACTCCATCCTAGTTTTATGAGATTAGGGAACACTACTAAATGAAACTATTAACTGTTTTCTGCAAACATCTAGTTACTGGTTCGTGACACAAAAATCCCTCGGACATCCAGGTGAACCATTTTAGGATTTTGGAGATTTATTGTAATCCGATTAGATTTTCCGTGTTCACCTGGTTTTACCTGGAAATGGCATGGTCAAATGGTTATGTAATAATTCAATTATTTGACAGTGAAGAACCAGAAAGTACCCATTTCTTGTATATAGTTTATACATAACATCAGGGAAACACCAAGTGAAATAGAACCGTAAAATAAAACATTACCCAGTTTTTATTCTCACCCAGCACTGATCTGACCTGGTAGTTCATCTATGTTTTCATGTTCCTGTTCCTGTTCCTGTTCCTGTTCCTGTTCCTGTTCCTGTTCCTGTTCCTGTTCCTGTTCCTGTCACCTGTCCCCACTCAAGCTTGGTTTCCTTTAAATCTCACAACAAGACTTATCTCCTACATTCTTAGAAAAAAGGGTTCCAAAAGGGTTATTTGGCTGTCTCCATAGGAGAACCCTTTTTGGTTCCAGGTAGAACCCTTTTGGGTTCCATGTAGAACCCTCTGTTCTACATGGAAAAGGGTTCTACCTGGAACCAAAAATGTTTCTTCAAAGGGTTATCCTATGGGGACAGCCAAATAACCCTTTTAGGCTCTAGATATAACCTTTTTTTCTAAGAGTGTAGAGGTGCTGGCCACTGGGGAGCAGTTTGAACAGGTGTGGGAAAATAGCCTTGGCCAACTTTTAGACACAAATACCCACAAATAGTGCAATGTTATATAGACACAGCACAGAGCCATGAAATTTGGTAGGGCTGTGCCTGGTCAGTCAAGTCCAACTAAAATATATGTTATTAACCCACTTCTCACTTTTTCCCTCAGTCACAAACACAGTAGCTATTTATGTTAAATCCACACAACAGTGCTATTTGTTCCTGTAAGATCAATCCAACCCACAGTATCATTATGGAAAATAAGGATTCTGTCACTGCAGTAGCAGTAAGTGAACGTGTCTATATGGTGAGTGACAGCCAGGGGATTGTTTTTGTGACTATGGAGCTATGTTGTTGCAGCAGGGCCTGTGGTATTAGGTTTCAAAAGGGAGGGGGGGGGGGGCTGGTAGAGCAGCCAATTCAAGCAAGCAGTGGGACGGCCACCCACACTAAGACGGCTATTACTGAGCATTACGTGGCAAAATATTATGGAGACATGGTGCTAATGAAAAAGATATTGGTTCATGAAGAATTATCACACACACACACACACACACTCCCCCCGCCCCACCCTACACACAATTTTTGCACTCTGGCAAAATGTCACCCATTATATTTTAACCACCCAACAGATGTGTAAAGGGCTCCAACACAACCCAGCTGATTAGTATTTATCCTACCTGCACATCCTGCTTAGGTGCTGTCACAGCCATGAGGCTCAAATCACTGAGCCATTGATCCTGGCTCAATATGCTCTGTCATCAGAGATGCTATCTAACCTTCTTCTGGGTGGGCTGGTGTGAATGGCGCCCTTACCACCAGACCACCTCAGCCTCTCTCTGTCAGCACACCTGTCAAGTCCCAGTTCCACCAAGGTCTTATCAAGCCTGACATCTCAATGCATTGCTTGGCAACTCCTATTACTCTCATAGTATGAAATAGCAGATAGATAGTGTGTGTAGTAGTCCTAGTAAAATGCTGTGGTCTTAATGAACTAGTTTGAATGTTTTGTGTCTTCCCACTTTCTTCTCCGGCCCTGTTCTCCTAACTGTTGTCTGGAACTGCTTGTGTTCTGGTCCACAGGAGATTGTCCTGGTGCTGTTCTTTGGGACAGAGTACGTGGTGCGGCTCTGGTCCGCCGGCTGCAGGAGCAAATATGTGGGGATCAAGGGACGACTCCGCTTCATCAGGAAACCAATATCTATCATAGGTGCACCTGGCTTCTCCTTTATTAAATCTCACACAGCCGTGCCACATGCAATCAGACACCGTTGTTACACGTTTTTACCCCTTCGTTTTTTGGGGTGAAATTAGATTACTTCTACTATTACTAGGGGAGAACCGGGACGAAAGTAATACTTTTTGTTTGTTTCCTAATTACTCACAGATCGGTAGAGCTAGAGAGACCATATTTTATGACAAACAACTTATGTCCTCCACCATTAGCAACTGTAATTTCATTTCTAGTGTAATTGAGTTGAAATTAAATAGGCCAAGAACAGAACTACCGCGACGTTACTTTTGTACCTGCCGGTGGGGCGGGAGTAATACAGCCTTAGGACGGAATTAACAGCTGGCGAGAAGTGCACAATATGTCTTATCTCCATGTTTCTGTTTTGTAATGCTCATTACTTTCAACAAATGTACTATCAGCCATCACTCATGAATAATTCATGCTATAGGTTAGACTATAGGTTTATTAATATTAACCATGCGTCAACATCGCAATGTTGCGCAACCACAATATTTTGCCTTACAATATTAATCAGACTAAAATGGATCACATAATAGCTATATTAACCATAATTTTCTCATCTCACTTTAATGGGAATGTAGTAGGAGATGTTTTTCACCATTTTCAATTACTATTCATGCTTAGCCCTACCAATCAGCTGCGCTCCAGCTGTCCTTGTCATGTGCGCTCCTCATGTCTTGATAGAATAAAAGTTGTTATTATTTTCCTAAACGGCAAAGTCATCAGGCTTAACACATTTCCATGGCTTGACACAAGGTAATTGTGATGAGTGTGATTAGAAGGAGTCAGGCGCAGGAGGGTAAATCACAGAATACAGAGTTTATTCCGTCGTACAGAGTTGCGCAAGATAGCGACAACAAAATACAGGCACAGGGGAATAATCTACCCCGGCAATACAAGGTACGAGTAGCTCCACCGAGCTACACTCAACTCACATAAAACAATCACCCACAAGGACAAGGGGGCAGAGGGAACACTTATACACAGAATGATGAGGGGATATGAACCAGGTGTGTGTAATTGACAAGACAAGACAAATGGAATGATGAGATATGGAGCGGCAGTGGCTAGTAAGCCGGTGACGCCGAACACCGAATCCTGCCCGAACAAGGAGGGGAGGCAGCCTCGGTGGAAGTCATGACAGTAATTAACCCCCAGAATCATAAAGATATATGTTTTTTACCACTAACCTGTCGATAAAAGCTTATGTGAGAAGCTGATCCATCAAGTCAATTGATTAAGGCATAATTCTAATGATGTCATATATAATTTTCTAACATTCAGTCACTTGTTGATATTTGCTAACATTATAAAAGGAATATAAACTAGAGGAGACAATGGCCTGTGCTTAAACATTTTTTTTATTCCAGGTCATCAGTTAACATTGTGTTACTTTCAGGTAATTTTTTTGCAGGGAGCTCATCCTCCGCATTAGGAACATGCTGACTTCACTACGTCATTCTAGCTTCTGTTTTATCTGAGAAAATGGGCATGTTATTTTCGCCCCGTGTTACTTTCGTCCCGGCTCTCTCCTTACTTTTTCTACTATTTTTACTTCTACTATTATGTCTACTACTTTTGTTGTTCAATGGAAACTTAAACATTTGAAGATTCTGAACTAGATGACGATGCTAATGTACAGGTGTATCCCTGTATCCCCCCCAGATCTGATAGTGGTTATTGCCTCCGTTGTAGTGCTGGGTGTAGGCTCCAATGGCCAAGTGTTTGCCACATCTGCTATCAGGTACTGGGTATATTACAAATCGGGATGAAAATTTCAATAAATTCTCTGGTTTTCCAGAAATCCTGGTTGGAGGATTCCAGATATCCTGCTTATTCACCTCCTGATTCCGGGAAGCCTCCAACTGGGATTTAGGGAAAAACAGGAAATGTATTGAAAGTTCCCAGAATTTTGCAACCCTAATTACAAATACGATAATATTGTAATATAAGTGTAACATTTTGTGTTCTACTGTAGTTGTGTTTTCGTTGCTTAGTAAAACAGTTGGAAGAGAGAAGTGGTATAGTAGGCTAAGGTTTGATTGACATTGGTTGCCTTTTGTCTCCATGGTTACAGGGGAATCCGCTTCCTCCAGATTCTACGCATGCTGCACGTGGATCGTCAGGGAGGAACATGGAGGCTTCTGGGATCGGTAGTCTTCATCCATAGACAGGTGGAGATCCCTTTACATCCGTTGGCCCATTTAATCTCACAGTTATGTGCAGAATGAGTTTACATGAAGTTATCACAAGTTCATCTGGAGTATAATGCTGTTTTTAGTAGAGTGACTCATCTACCTTGATCTTACTTGATCCACTTGTCTACTGTACCTTGATTAGGCTTCTCATAAATCCTCAGTCAATCAAACGGATGAAAATAAAAATGCAAGGTAGATGAGATGGCTAAAGACATGGTTAGTCATGGCTTTGAAAAGAAAAAATATGTAAACTATTGTTGGACATTTCTTAACCAAATAAGGACACACCCTCTGGTCAAATGATGGGTGCACATCGCTGCCATTTCTTCCAGAGGATTAGTGCACTTGTTCTGTCTGAGTTGCCCTGCCTCCTGTCTAGCTTGTCTGGTTATGGGCAGACTGAGGCAGACATCTGTCCATGTTGTCCATGCTACATTGCCACCAGTGATTATCACAGGGCCCGTTGCACAATCACAGATTCCTCTGATACTCTCACTAGGACCTGCAAGGCTTTATAAGGAGAGGGAGGTAGAGAGTCAGGTTCAACAGCTTTCCTTTCCTTCTTCGTGTGTTTTCCCCTCTTTGTTTTGTCATCTCTACCCGTACACTAATTTCAGTAATCCGGTATTCTTTTTAAGACCTCCTGTTCTGTTTTTTTTGCTATCTTCAACTGGAAGCTGTGGGTTATTTCTCTTTGATGTGCAATGTGTCAACTGCTAATCTTTTAGGGTTCAGGGTTTACATAAATAGTCAAAGGGAGATTTGGTATTTGGTATTTTATTAAGATCCCTTTAGCTGTTGGGAAAGCAGCAGCTACTCTTCCTAAAGATGAAGATGAAGATGAAGTCTTCTGTCTGTGTGAAATGATAGAGATATATTTTTTTTGTAGTCATTGCATGCTGTGTTGTAATGATTTATGTTATGGACGGATATCATTTGTAATGTAAATGCAATGTAAAATGTGTAAATAATGTAAAGAAATGCATGTAACATCTATACATGGTCTACTACACATTACAAGTGACATACTCCACTCTCTATCTGCCTTTCCTCTGTTGTAGGAGCTGATCACCACGCTGTACATCGGCTTCCTGGGGCTGATCTTCTCCTCCTACTTTGTGTACCTGGCGGAGAAGGATGCTGTGGACGAGGAGGGCAAGACTGGCTTCTCCAGCTACGCTGATGCCCTGTGGTGGGGCGTGGTAAGGCATAGTAATAGAGCTGATGCCCTGTGGCGGGGCGTGTCAAGCAGAGGAGGCTGGTGAGGGAAGACAGCTCAAAATAATACATGGAATGGAATGAAATCAAACACATGGAAACGAAGGTTACGTATATGGATCACTACAATATATTGGTATCACTCCGCGGCGGAGGGATACATCCGAGGTGAGGATTTACAGATTTACTCCCGTGTACACCTCTGTCACGTCTGGGGACCGCCCCTATATATAGACCCCATGGCCGCAACACACGTTCTCTACATCATTTTTGAGGCGCCTCTAGCACCGTAGAGGATTGGAGTGATCCATATAGCTCAGATAACCGTGGTTACATACGTAACCTTCGTTATGTTTCACTATATTGGATCACTCCAATATAATGGTATACCCGTACCAGATTTAGTCGGTGCTAGAGGGACCTAACCAGCCAGCAGCGAAGTCCAAGCACGGAACCGAGACGCTGGGGCCGTCAATGTGGAAGGGGGTTCCCGGCACAGTCCCCGGAAGGGGAGGCGACGCCCAGGACCGCTGAACCAACCGCAGAGGGAAGTGCCACATTTACCCGATAGTACCTAGCAAAGGTGCAAGAGGAAGCCCAGCTGGCCGCAGCACAGATATCAGCGAGGGTAACTCCTCTCAGTAGAGCCCAGGACGCAGCCACACCTTGTGTTGAATGTGCCACCACAGATCCCAGCACTGGTCTGCCATCCAGGCGGTATGCTGTCGTAATCATGTCCACGATCCAGTGAGAGAGCCTCTGCTTTGATAGCCCAGCCCCCAGGACTCTCTCACCATAGCAGACAAAGAGCTGGTCTGTTGTTCTCACTGACCGTGTCTGCTCCACACAGGCAGCCAGTGCCAGCACAGGGCACAGCATGCTGGAGGGAGGGCCAGACTCCCCTGCCACTGCCGGGGGGTCGTAAGCAGACAGGATAAAAGGGATGTTCACATGCCTGTCTGACAGAACCTTCGGGAAGAATGAAGGGTTGGGGCGGAGAGATATACTTTTCCCACCGGGGTCCATCCGGTAGCACTCAGAACTTACCAAAAAAGCATGGAGCTCACCTACCCTCTTCATGGAAGTAACCGCTACCAAGAAAACCACCTTCATAGAGAGGTGTTTCAGGGAGGCAGACTCCAACGGTTCGAAAGGCGGCTTTGCCAAAGCTGCCAAGACCACATCCAGATCCCAGCTCACCATTGAGCGGGTCCTAGCTGGATGCAGGCGACAAACCATGAACCTGGAGACCAAGGGATGGCGCCCCACTGGCCTGTCCATCCACCCCACATGGCAGTCAGATATAGCGGCCAAATACCCTCTCAGTGTAGAGGCTGCCAAGCCCTCATCCAAGCGAGACTGCAGGTATTGGAGGACATCTCAATACCAGTGCACCAAGAGCAGAACAACCGCCAGCGCAACTGGTATGCCGCGGTTGTAGCCGGTGACCTTGCGCTCTGCATGGTGTTCATTACGCCCTCCTGTAGTCCTAACATGGACCATTGGTGCCGTTCAGCGGCCAAGCCCACAGACTGAGGCGGTGCGGTCTCGGATGCCAAAGAGTTCCCCCGGCCTGAGACAGCAGGTCGGGTCTCAGGGGCAGTTACCAAGGTGTCCCAGACAACAGGGACAGGAGAAGGCTGGACCAGGGTCATCTGGGACAGTATGGGGCCACCAGCAGCAGGCGATGCTCCGCCATCCTGGTCCTGTCCAGCACAGCCTGGATCAGGGGAAAAGGGGGGAATGCATAAAGCTCCAGCCCTGGCCAATCGTGAGCCAGAGCATCCAAGCCCAGAGGCCCTGGTGGCTCCGACATGGAGTACCACAGGTGGCAGTGTGCATTGCCCAGGGAGGCAAACAGGTCCACTTGCGACCCTCCCAAACTTGTCCCACAGGTGCTGAACCACCTGGGAATGTAGGCTCCAGTCCCAAGGTGGCGGGCCCTCCCTCGAGAGCATATCTGCTGCCACATTCAGGATGCCAGGTACGTGCGCTGCGTGTAGAGACGCTAGACGTCCCTGAGCCCAGAGAAGGAGCTCCCGTGCCATAAGATGGAGACGGTGGGACCTCAGTCCACCTGGATGGTTGATGTAAGCCACCACTGTGGTGTTGTCCGTTCTCACCAGAACATGTCTTCCCTTCAGATGTGGAAGGAAAGATCGCAGGGCCAGCAGTACAGCTCGGAGCTCTAGTGTATTGATGTGCCTGCCTGCCGCTCCAATGGGGTAGCCAACAGCCGCTGGCCGACCTGCCTTTGGTCACACCCCCCAGCCGATCTGGGAGGCATCTGTGCTGACCAGCTCCTGGCGGCACATCCTCAGCATCTCCACCCCACCTGAGAGAAAAGAGCGACAGCACCACCTCAACAATGCCCTGTGGCACTGTGCAGTCACCCGCAGCTGGCAGTGACGGTGGCGCTTTGGGTGCAGCTGAGGAGGACCATGGCAGCTATCATGGTGTCCATGGTCGGGTACTCCCAGAGGCCGAGTGACTCCGCGCCCGCAACATAACTCCATGGTCCAGTCTCTGCTGTGAGTCGGAAGCGCCCCCCTGGCAGAGGCCTCGCGGAACTCAGCAGAGATGGGGACAGATGGAGAGTCATCGGTGCCCACCATTTTGATGTCCAGTGCAGTGGCTACCCGAGTGAGTAGGCTCCTCATAGCCTCTCCAGCCGCTGGGGGCGATGAAGCCCCGCTGCTGGCTTCTGATGGCCTGTCAGTCTGGTAGCCCCGCTCAAGGCAGTGAACAGTGCCAGCATCGTCCCCCAGGAACAGCCTATCACTGGCCAACAGGGAACAGCTGTCGTCGCCACCGAAGCTATCAATCTCCTGACGCAGGGCATGCGCTCTCCATTCAAGGTGGTCCCAGCGGTCCGACTCCTGCCCCCGTCCAGGACTGGCAGCAGATGGGCTCTGCCTGCGGTGGCTCTGGCCACGCTTCCTGGGAGGGGTACTGGGCCCAGTAGAGGGCTAACAGCTCGCTGGCGCACCACTCCTAAGGGAGGGAGCTCATCCCCAGCCTGAGCCCGAGCCTGGCAGACCCACTCGCGCATGGCCTCCAATCGCGCCAGGCGCAGGCGTTCTGAGAACGCCACACAAAACAGGCATCCAGTAGGGCGCTCCACCGCTCTCTCTGCGTGGCTCAAACCCAGGCAGTGCATACTTTTTATTTATTTATTTTTATTTCACCTTTATTTAACCAGGTAAGCCAGTTGAGAACAAGTTCTCATTTACAATTGCGACCTGGCCAAGATAAAGCAAAGCAGTGCGATAAAAACAACAACACAGAGTTACATATGGGGTAAAAAAAACATAAGGTCATAAAATACAACAGAAAATATATATACAGTGTGTGCAAATGTAGCAAGTTATGGAGGTAAGGCAATAAATAGGCTATAGTGCAAAATAATTACAATTAGTATTAACACTGGAATGCTAGATGTGCAAGAGATTATGTGCAAATAGAAATACTGGGGTGCAAAAGAGCAAAATAAATAACAATATAGGGATGAGGTAGTTGGGTGGGCTAATTTCAGATGGGCTGTGTACATGTGCAGTGATCGGAAAGGTGCTCTGACAACTGATGCTTAAAGTTAGTGAGGGAGATAAGAGTCTCCAGCTTCAGAGATTTTTGCAATTCGTTCCAGTCATTGGCAGCAGAGAACTGGAAGGAATGGCGGCCAAAGGAGGTGTTGGCTTTGGGAATGACCAGTGAGATATACCTGCTGGAGCGCAGACTACGGGTGGGTGCTGCTATGGTGACCAATGAGCTAAGATAAGGCGGGGATTTGCCTAGCAGTGATTTATAGATGGCCTGGAGCCAGTGGGTTTGACGACGAACATGTAGTGAGGACCAGCCAACAAGAGCGTACAGGTCACAGTGGTGGGTAGTGTATGGGGCTTTGGAGACAAAACGGATGGCACTGTGATAGACTACATCCAATTTGCTGAGTAGAGTGTTGGAGGCTATTTTGTAAATGACATCGCCGAAGTCAAGGATCGGTAGGATAGTCAGTTTTACGAGGGCATGTTTGGCAGCATGAGTGAAGGAGGCTTTGTTGCGAAATAGGAAGCCGATTCTAGATTTAACTTTGGATTGGAGATTCTTAATGTGAGTCTGGAAGGAGAGTTTACAGTCTAACCAGACACCTAGGTATTTGTAGTTGTCCACATACTCTAGGTCAGACCCGTCGAGAGTGGTGATTCTAGTCGGGTGGGCGGGTGCCAGCAGCGTTCGATTGAAGAGCATGCATTTAGTTTTACTAGTGTTTAAGAGCAGTTGGAGGCTACTGAAGGAGTGTTGTATGGCATTGAAGCTCGTTTGGAGGTTTGTTAACACAGTGTCCAATGAAGGGCCAGATGTATACAAAATGGTGTCGTCTGCGTAGAGGTGGATCTGAGAGTCACCAGCAGCAAGAGCGACATCATTGATATACACAGAGAAAAGAGTCGGCCCAAGAATTTAACCCTGTGGCACCCCCATAGAGACTGCCATAGGTCCAGACAACAGGCCCTCCGATTTCACACATTGAACTCTATCTGAGAAGTAGTTGGTGAACCAGGCGAGGCAGTCATTTGAGAAACCAAGGCTATTTAGTCTGCCAATAAGAATGCGGTGGTTGACAGAGTCGAAAGCCTTGGCCAGGTCGATGAAGACGGCTGCACAGTACTGTCTATTATCGATCGCGGTTATAATATCGTTTAGGACCTTGAGCGTGGCTGAAGTGCACCCATGACCAGCTCGGAAACCGGATTGCATAGCGGAGAAGGTACGGTGGGATTCGAAATGGTTGGTGATCTGTTTGTTAACTTGGCTTTCAAATACTTTCGAAAGGCAGGGCAGGATGGATATAGGTCTGTAACAGTTTGGATCTAGAGTGTCACCCCCTTTGAAGAGGGGGATGACCGCGGCAGCTTTCCAATCTCTGGGGATCTCAGACGTTACGAAAGAGAGGTTGAACAGGCTAGTAATAGGGGTTGCGACAATTTCTGCGGCTAGTTTTAGAAAGAAAGGGTCCAGATTGTCTAGCCCAGCTGATTTGTAGGGGTCCAGATTTTGCAGCTCTTTCAGAACATCAGCTGTCTGAATTTGTGTGAAGGAGAAGCGGGGGGGGCATGGGCAAGTTGCAGCAGAGGGTGCAGAGTTGGTGGCCGGGGTAGTGGTAGCCAGGTGGAAAGCATGGCCAGCCGTAGCAAAATGCTTGTTGAAATTCTCGATTATTGTAGATTTATCGGTGGTGATAGTGTTTCCTAGCCTCAGTGCAGTGGGCAGCTGGGAGGAAGTGCTCTTATTCTCCATGGACTTTACAGTGTCCCAAAACTTTTTGGAGTTAGTGCTACAGGATTCAAATTTCTGTTTGAAAAAGTTAGCCTTTGCTTTCCTGACTGCTTGTGTATATTGGTTCCTAACTTCCCTGAAAAGTTGCATATCGCGGGGGCTATTTGATGCTAATGCAGTACGCCACAGGATGTTTTTGTGCTGGTCAAGGGCAGTCAAGTCTGAGGAGAACCAGGGGCTATATCTGTTCTTAGTTCTGTATTTTTTGAATGGGGCATGTTTATTTAAGATTGAGAGGAAATTACTTTTAAAGAACAACCAGGCATCCTCTACTGACGGAATGAGATCTATATCCATCCAGGATACCTGGGCCAGGTCAATTAGGAAGGCCTGCTCGCTAAAGTGTTTTAGGGAGCGTTTGACAGTGATGAGGGGTGGTCGTTTGACCGCGGACCCGTTACGGACGCAGGCAATAAGGCAGTACACAAGGTATGCGGATCCCCAGGGGGGGTGCCACCATCACACCTGACACAAAGGGAAGCCATAAGCTCAGCCAAGCCAGCAAGGCCACGGAGCAGGGGTCCGACACCCTGGGAGAACTTATGTTGTGACCCGCTTGGAGGAATAGGAACCCGGTGAGGGATAAATTACCCAGTACCTCTCCAAAAACCAGGGAATACCAGTGTGGGAAAAACAGGCAGAGAAAAAAAACAGCAACCAGGTTATTTGTTTTTTGTTTTTGTTTTACGCAAACTGCAATATTACCTAGCTGGTTTAATATCCAAGCAGCAAAAACAGCACCATATGATGGAGTAACTCAGTTAAGGAACTCCAAAGTTAATGTCTCAATGTAGTGGAAAGCCCACCACGATACTCTTACACTCTGCAGGGGAAAGAACAAGAAAAAACCTGCAGGGTAATTATCAGAGAACCGGCTCCTACGGCACGGGGAGCATGTTAAAGCAACTCACAACAAACACATAGAACAAGCCAGTCGGCAAGTTGTTTATGGTAAATTTCTGTTTGTGCAGCAAGAGCCACCACACTAATGGATGCACACGGAGTCGTAGTGTAACGCTAACGAAACACAAGTACGACAAACCATGGGCGGAAGATACAGATCAACCGCGCGCAGCGAGTGGAGCACTCAAGAGGAGGGGCTGGTCATGTGGCCAGCTGCTCCAGGCTGCAAACAGCCAGTGAGTATACTTCCACGCTATTCCAAGATATTACACTTAACAGTGACTTACCAAGCGAACTTCAGAAAGATTGTACCTCAAACTATAGGGACGTCCGCCTCAAAAATGAAAGAGAACGTGTGTCGCGGCCATGGGGTCTATATATAGCGGCGGACCCCAGCCGTGACACAGGTGTACACGGGAGTAAATCTGTAAATCCTCACCTGGATGTATCCCTCCGCCGCGGAGTGATACCAATATATTGGAGTGATCCAATATGGTGAAACATAACCAACCATTACTATGAGCCCGTCCTCCCCATTTAAAGTGCCACCAGCCACCACTGGTGGTAAGGCATAGTAATAGCATAGTACTGTATATAGCAGACACTTTTATCCAAGGCCACTTACAGTACAGTGATATACATTTTAGTATATGTGACCAAATCAAACCCACAACCCAAGCTTGAGCGACCGTTGTGCTTGTTTTGGGGTGTGTATCTGTCGGGGTCCCCCTCTAGCTTGAGTGGTTCTGGAATACCATAAAGACACAAGTTGCTAATCCGGTTTCAGTCACACAAAGCTACTGCTAGCTTCAGAGAAAGAGGTTTTGTTTTGAGAGAAATAGACAAGAGGTGTCACGGGGTAGATGATAGATACAGGCATAATGTTGCTGAGGCTGGAATGCTTCAGTAACATACATGGGTTCTTATTGGACGTTTTGAAAATGCTGTCCACACTAGAACCAAAGATTGAACTACACACTCAATAACTATTCATTTTTTCATTTGTGGCTGATGTGTTAGGTAGTTGGTGCAATACTCAGTCCATAAGGAGGCAGCTAATCGTGCTGTGCCCACCCTAAAAAAAATGCTGGGTTAAAAACAACCCAATTTGGGTTATTTGGTAACCCTGCGCTGGGTAAATATTGGACAGATACCCGCTGGGTTATTTTGACCCAGTGAGTTGGGTTGTGTGAAAAACCCAACAAGTTGGGTTGTTGGGATTACCCAAACATGGGTTAATTTAGCCATCAGTTGGGGTTTAATTCACTTTCATGCTGGGTTGACCCAGCAGCAGGGTATTTTTTAATGTAATCCATACGAGGCGTGGCTTATTAGGGTTGTGGCTTTCATATAGTTATTTTTGGCCACCAGTGAGAGTAAATTCCATCTCTGTTCATCATGTTAAGTTTGTACACTGTAAATGTTAATTTTCCTTGAATATTTTTGTACATGACATATTCTAATATGCAGTTATTAACATTATTATTTACATATTGTAACAAAGTGGTAAGTATCCCAACACTGGCATATGCATAGGCCCTTAAGGAACTCACTTGTATAAGCCTCATTAAAGCTACAAAGGTGTCAGTGTTCAACCTTAAAATCTGATAACAATACAACAGAACAGATTAACCGGAATTACATTTGCTGTCAAAGGGTGGCCAAAAATAACTTCCTGAATGCCACGCCCAACTACTAAACTACGCCTCCAGTCTTCTGATCTGACCCGCTGTGGCATATCTCAATAACCCAGCACTAGGGGTGTAAACGTTTAAACGTAAAAAAGTTTAAATGAAATTAAGAAAAATCCCTAATGGAAAAACAATGTTTTTTTCCCCATAAAATTGTAATCGCCTGCTCTAGTCTCTTCGCTAGTGTGTGTCTTCTGTCTGTTGCGTGTAGAATATCTTAGCATATTCAGTGATGATAGGCCCTGCTTTACTGAAGTTGCGAGACATTGCAACCAAAGAAATTGCGAAATACAGCATTCCATTGCGAGATACAGCTTTGATTGCTAATAGATAGGCCTAGTGCACGGTTCTGACTCCGTCTGCCTGGTGGCTGACCTGCCTATCCTGTGCCCCCCCTCCCAGTTCTGGTCGCCTAGTGATGGACGTTAGTTCCGCTTCAGAAGCGGCATTCCTCTACAGACAAGTAAAATGCCCATTCAGTGGCGCTTTGAAACTATCTCCAGAGAAGGTACCCTTACAGGCAAACAAACATGCGGTAGCCGAGGCGCTTTCAAGGGTATATGACTGCGATAGATATAACTTAATTGCCTGGCCCTAGCGGTCATACATACGTAATAGGATCATTATTCTGCATTGTGAATTGACGTAGAATTTAATGATTTTTTCTTATCGTTTTAATGGAAAACCGATAACAGAAATGGCTGTTTAAACGTTAAGCAACATTTTCCATTTGTCACATCGCTACCCAGTGTCACGGTTCAGACAGACGACCAGAGGACCACAATTGCGTCACACCAGAAAGTTTATTAAACTTAAGGGAAAAGGGAAGTAGGGAGTGAATGAAGGCTCCAGGGGTAACAGGGATCCCGTCCAATGTGCTGGGTCTGTGCCCCCCCCAGTGGCAGCGATGCGTCCTATGAAGCCGGTGGTGGGTGGTCCAGAAGTCCTGGGGGGGGGGAGACACAGACACAACAGGGCGGAATGAAACAAGGCAGCAGTACAGTTCAAGGGAAATCCAAATACGTAGTAGCAAGGCAGAAGGCTGGTCAGAGTTACCGGGATTGAAGAGTAGTCAGGAGTCGTAATGGCAGAAGCAGGTCTGGATCTCCTGGGGCAGACGAGAATCCAAAAATCAGGCAGGTCCGGGGTCACAAAACCAGGGTGAGCCAGAAGCGCGAGCAAACAGGTTCCGGGTGTGAGCTTTGCAGACGATCTGACACCGGAGAGCTGAAAGACAGGGCCTTAAATACTGGGAGAGGTAGTGGGTAATGCAGCGCAGCTGGCAGAGTAATTAGAGCAGAGCAGAGCAGGGACAGGTGGAGCTAGTTAGGCTGAGTAGAGAGAGTGGTGAGCAGAGTGGAAGAAAATAAGGTGGTAACCCGGTGGAGTGAGAGGCTCATGACAGAACCCCCCCCCCAAGGGACGGCCCCAGAAGTCCCAAGAGCAACACCACGCCGGGCGGGAGGAGGGGAGCCGGAGGAGGGCTAGAACTCCTCCGAACGGTCCGAGTGAACGTCCTCATCCTCGGAGGAAGCCGGAGGGCCGTGGTCGGGAGATGGGACAGGTCCCGAGACAGGATCAGGCACAGGACAGGAAGCCGAGCGGGCAGGACGGTTAGGGACCCCTCTGGGGCGGCCCCTACGGATTGCAGGTTGATCAGGATGCTGTTGGTGGAAAGCGGTGATGAGAGTCCTATCCACAATCCGACTAGCTGGCACCCAGGTCCTTTCCTCAGGTCCATAGCCCTCCCAGTCAATGAGGTACTGGAGACCCCTACCCCTCCGTCTGGACCGAAGCAGGCGGCGGACGGTGTAAACCAGACCACCCTCGACGAGCCGTGGAGGAGGAGGACAAGGCGCAGCAGGGACCAGCGGACTCTCATGGATGGGCTTAATCTTAGACACATGGAAAGTGGGGTGCACCCTCAGGGAATTAGGCAGTTGGAGCCGGACAGCAGTTGGGCTAATCACTCTTATGATAGGGAATGGGCCAATGAACCGAGGTGCCAGCTTCTGCGACTCCACCCTGAGTGGCAGGTTCTTCGATGACAACCACACCCTTTGACCAACATGGTAGGTGGGAGCAGGAATTCTCCGACGGTTGGCCCCGGTAGTGTAGCTGGCAACGGATCTGAGGAGTGTGGCTCGGGCTTGTGACCAGGTGCGGCGACATCGACGGGCAAAAGCAAGTGCAGATGGGCAAGTAACCTCCTCTTCCTGGCTGGCAAATAGAGGAGGCTGGTATCCATAAACACATTGGAAAGGGGACATACCGATGGCAGAGCAGGTCAGAGAATTGTGTGCGTACTCCACCCATGTCAATTGCTGCGACCAGGAGTGGGGGTTGCGTGAAGTCATGCATCGCAGTGCCTTCTCGAGCTCCTGATTAGCCCGCTCTGACTGCCCATTGGATTGGGGATGGAATCCGGAAGTCAGACTGACTGTGGCTCCCAGCAGGTGACAGAACTCCTTCCAAAAAGCGGAGGAGAATTGTGGACCACGGTCAGAAACTACATCCTTTGGCAGTCCGTGGATCCGGAAGACGTGTTCCAGGACCACCTGGGCGGTCTCCTTGGCGGTTGGGAGCTTGGGGAGGGGAATGAAGTGTGCCATCTTGCTGAAACGGTCAACAATGGTGAGAATGACGGTCATGCCACTTGAAGGGGGCAGCCCCGTGACAAAGTCAAGGGCGATGTGAGACCAGGGACGTCTGGGCACAGGCAGGGGCTGCAGCAATCCGGCTGGGGGCTGGCAGGACGACTTGTGTTGGTTGCAGATGGGGCAGGCTTGGACGAATTCCCGTACATCCTTCCTCAGAGAGGGCCACCAGAACCTCTGGGCGAGCAGGTTGTAAGTGCGGGTGGAGCCAGGGTGACAAGCTAGGCGGGAGTCATGTCCCCACTGAACGACCTGGGACCTCAGGTCTTCGGGGACAAAAAGGCGGTCAGCTGGGCAAGTGCTGGGACCTGGCTGGTTACGGAGAGCCTCCAGCACCTGTTCCTCAACAGCCCAGGTCAGAGCTGCAACGATGCAGGGACTTGGCAGAATCGACACAGGGTCCTTGGAGGGGGTGTCATCCTTCTGGAATTGACGGGAGAGGGCGTCTGGCTTGGTGTTGCGTGATCCAGGCCGGTATGACAGAGTGAAATTAAACCTGGTGAAGAACAGGGCCCAGCGGGACTGCCTGGAGTTCAACCGTTTGGCCGTGCGGATGTACTCCAAGTTCTTATGATCGGTCCAAACGAGAAATGGAATGGTGGACCCCTCCAGCCAGTGACGCCACTCCTCCAAGGCAAGCTTCACAGCCAGCAGCTCACGGTTCCCTATGTCGTAATTGCACTCAGAGGGGGACAACCGACGTGAGAAAAAGGCACAGGGATGGAGCTTCCTATCCTCCGCAGCCCACTGAGAAATCACAGCACCAACTCCCACATCCGAGGCGTCCACCTCCACAATGAATTGCCGGTCCACATCAGGCATCTGGAGGATGGGAGCGGAGGTGAACCTCACCTTGAGGGTACTGAAGGCTTTGTCGGCTGCTGGGGTCCAGGTGAAGGGTTGCTTGGTGCTGGTTAGAGCAGTGAGAGGGGCAGCAACGGTACTGTAGTTCCGGATAAACTTTCTATAGAAGTTAGCAAACCCCAGAAACTGTTGCAGCTTCTTTCTGTTCTCCGGAACTGGCCATGAAGTGACTGCTGATACTTTGGCAGGATCCATTTGGATACTTCCCTCTGCCACTATGTACCCCAGGAAGGCCACTGTCTTGACGTGAAACTCACATTTCTCTGCCTTGGCGTAGAGGGAATTCTCCAGAAGACGATGAAGGACTTGCTGGACATGGCGGGTGTGTTCAGACAGGTTTCTGGAGTAGATTAAGATGTCATCCAGGTAAACGAAGACAAACTTGTTTAACATGTCCCGCAGTACATCATTCACTAGAGCCTGGAACACAGCAGGAGCATTGGTGAGGCCAAAAGGCATAACCAGATACTCGTAGTGGCCTGTTGGTGTATTGAATGCGGTTTTCCATTCATCTCCCTCCCGGATCCGCACTAGGTGGTAAGCGTTTCTGAGATCCAACTTGGTAAAAACAGTGGCTCCCTGGAGCAACTCAAAAGCAGAGGTGAGCAGAGGCAGAGGGTAACGGTTTTTCACTGTGATGTCGTTGAGTCCCCTGTAGTCGATGCAGGGGCGAAGAGATCCGTCCTTCTTCCCCACAAAGAAGAAGCCAGCACCAGCAGGAGATGAAGATGAACGGATTAATCCTGCGGACAGAGAGCCATTGATGTAGTCCTCCATGGACTTTCTTTCAGGAGCAGACAACGAATAAAGACGACCCTTTGGAGGGGCTGTTCCAGGGAGGAGGTCGATGGCACAGTCGTACGGTCGGTGAGGGGGCAGAGATGTGGCTCTTGCTTTGTTAAACACCTCTCTCAGACCATGGTAGCATTCTGGGACATTGGAGAGGTCAGGAGCGGAGTTAGTAGGTACTGGCCGAGGGGGTAGTGCGGCAGCAAGCAGGCAGGTTCGGTGGCAGTCCTCTCCCCACTCCCTGATCACCCCGGTCACCCAGTCGAGCTGAGGGTTGTGCCGGCGGAGCCATGGGTAACCCAGGATGAGGGGTTGGCCTGGAGAGGGGAGCAGGTGAAACTGGATAGTTTCTTGATGGTTTCCGGACAGACCCATCGAGACCGGGGCCGTGACATGAGTGACCGATCCGAGTAAGTGTCCGTCCAGTGCCCGGGCAGGAATAGGAGGTGTCAAACGGAGGTTCTCCAGTCCCAGTTGGCGTGCCAGCTTGATGTCCATTATGTTGGCTTCGGCGCCAGAATCCACCAGAGCAGCCAGGGTGTGAGTTGAGTCAGAGAGGCGGAGGTGAACTTGCAGCAGGGGTTTGCGGTCGGAGGACTGGATGGTCATTGAACTCAACCGGACTCCCCCTATGCCCGGTGAGCTTCGGCCCTTTAAAGGGCAGGTTACCACACGATGTCCATCACCTCCACAATAGAGGCAGAGGTTTGAGGTGAAGCGTCGCTGGCGCTCTGCAGGAGTGAGAGAGGCTCGCCCAATCTCCATAGGCTCAGACTGATCAAGCTGACCTGGGTGAGTGGCAGTAGATGACAGGAGCCCAGTCGGATCTCTCCGAATGCCGGTAGTAGGTGGACCTTGGCGCCCCCTCTCACGACGACGGGTCTGTATCCTTCTGTCGATCCTGACAGTTAGTGCGATGGCTTCATCAAGAGTGGAAGGCAGTTCATGGGAGACCAACTCGTCCTTGATATAGTCAGCCAAACTATGGAAGAACGCGTCCACCAACGATGGTGTGTTCCAAGAACTTCGTCTAGCCAGGGTTCGGAAGTCGATGGAATGGTCTGCGACTGTACGTCTGCCTTGTCGAATACTGAACAGTTCACGAGACGCCTCTGCGGTTGGTGAATCCAGGTCAAACACCTTCAGCATCTCCTCAGCAAACAGGTCGAAGGTTGCACATGCGGGGGTTTGACGTTCGAACTCTGCTGTTCCCCAGAGTCGAGCTCGGCCCGTCAGGTGAGTGATGGCATACCCAACTTTAGCCCCCTCCGTGGCGAAGGTCCTTGGCTGCAAGGAGAACTGAAGTCGGCAGCTAGTCAGGAATGGCCGGACCTGGGTTGAATCGCCGTTAAAACCGCTCGGGGTTTCCAATCTTGGGTTCCGGAGCAGCGGCTGCAATGACCGGGGCAGGTAACTCGGGGGCAGGGCTGGTGGGCAGACTGGCTGGGGTCAGGTTGGTGAGGAGTTGAATGATCATGGCGAGTTGTTGTTGCTGCTGCTGGAACTGCTGCTCATGCTCATCGGTTTCCATGTCGGGGAAAGTGTGCGCTGAGTCCATAATGGTCAGATCGTACTGTCACGGTTCAGACAGACGACCAGAGGACCACAATTGCGTCACACCAGAAAGTTTATTAAACTTAAGGGAAAAGGGAAGTAGGGAGTGAATGAAGGCTCCAGGGGTAACAGGGATCCCGTCCAATGTGCTGGGTCTGTGCCCCCCCCAGTGGCAGCGATGCGTCCTATGAAGCCGGTGGTGGGTGGTCCAGAAGTCCTGGGGGGGGGGAGACACAGACACAACAGGGCGGAATGAAACAAGGCAGCAGTACAGTTCAAGGGAAATCCAAATACGTAGTAGCAAGGCAGAAGGCTGGTCAGAGTTACCGGGATTGAAGAGTAGTCAGGAGTCGTAATGGCAGAAGCAGGTCTGGATCTCCTGGGGCAGACGAGAATCCAAAAATCAGGCAGGTCCGGGGTCACAAAACCAGGGTGAGCCAGAAGCGCGAGCAAACAGGTTCCGGGTGTGAGCTTTGCAGACGATCTGACACCGGAGAGCTGAAAGACAGGGCCTTAAATACTGGGAGAGGTAGTGGGTAATGCAGCGCAGCTGGCAGAGTAATTAGAGCAGAGCAGAGCAGGGACAGGTGGAGCTAGTTAGGCTGAGTAGAGAGAGTGGTGAGCAGAGTGGAAGAAAATAAGGTGGTAACCCGGTGGAGTGAGAGGCTCATGACACCCAGCATCAATAGCCCAGCATCAACAACCCAACCCTGCTCTTTTTAAAGAAAACAACCCAACTAAGTGACCGAATGCCTGCAACCCAGCAGTTGGGTCATCCAAACAACCCAGCTTTTTTTAGAGTGCAGACTGTTGTGGCTGTTTCCATCAGGTGGGTCAAGTTTCCAGTTCAGTTAATTAAACAGTTGAATGTAAGGCTGTGGGTAATGAGAAACCTATGGTAGTCTTGTGCTAGGGGGATCTACACGCAATAAACCCCATTCACCTTTCTGCTCTCTGTCTCAAATACCTTTTACTCTGCCACTATAAAGTGTCAGTTCCTTTAATTAAAACTGTAATTGCAGGATTACTAGCTGTTTTGTAGTGAGAGTTAGAAAGGTTCAGGGGTCCTTGGTGCCCAATGGAACCAAGAAGAAAAGCTGCTTTTTGTGTCTCATAGCCACAATGAACAAAACAGCCCAATAGGAGCTTTGCTCTCCTTTGTTGATCACAGAGACTGTAAACTTGAGACTTGTGATATGCCGTGCCAATAGGTTTGGTCACTCACTCGTGTGTGTGTGGTGTGTGTTTGTGTGTGTGTGTGTGTGTGTGTGTGTGTGTGTGTGTGTGTGCTGAGATCAGTTTGTCCAGCAGTAAGGGGAGAGCCTGTTTGGAGAGTGGTGTGTGTGCATGTTTCCCAGTGTATTCCCTGTCAGCTTGTTTTCTACTGTGGGGTGTGCAGGTGCAGGGCACAGCTGTAGGATGGGCCCAGAGCCTACAGGCCAATGGCATGATTCATATTTCTCCTCTCTCCTCCCCTCCTCTCCTCTCCTCCTCTCCTCTCCTCTCCTCCGCCTCTCACACTCAGACAGAGGTTGTTAAGGGAATAGTGTTTGATCTGGAGCTTCACCAGCACTCTGCTCAACCAAATTGGAGAGAGAGAGAGAGAGAACTGATTCATTTCAGGAAGGAGAGGGAGTGATAGAGAGAGAGAGATTTAGTTTCTGGTGTTTATAGGGTGTATGGTGTTTACTATGAACCATAGATGGCAGGTGTGGTATGGCAATGACACACACTCATACAGAGAGAGGGAGAAAGAGGAAATAGACTGTGCCCCAATGAGAACTCAAGATGGTGTGTTTGACCTTTGTGAAGACATGGAGAGGCTTCGCCACACACTTGGAGTGCAGCGCTTATACCAGGGGTTTGAATGCGGGGTGTTGTTGAGTGGACTGTTCCACACTGATGTCAGGCCCATTGTTTAGTCATAGAATTTGTAGATGAGGATTAACCACCCCCTCCATCCCTCCTTCCCTGCTGCACTCCTTCTTCCTATTTACTCCCAAAGACTTTTAAGTATCTCACCTTACATCACCCTCTTTGTATAAGCACACAGCACAGGGTCACACGGCGCCCCATAGACACTCCACTGTAAGCCAAGTGCTTCTCTCAATGTGTCACAATTGGCTTAGGTTTCAGAGTGGATGTACATGGAAATGCAGGGGTATTTGTTTTCCTCCGTGCTCCGCTCGGCCGAATTCCTCCTCTCACCGAGGATTAGTCCCAGTCAGAATCGTATTCCTATTGAGTGAATTTCAACTGCTGAGTGGTGACAGTTTTGGAGGCAGGCCAATAAGTGTGATGAACTTTCTCTTCATGGTCTGCTCCTTGTTGTTATCGCCAAGCTGTGAAAGCACTGTGTTCAATGACCTCTTTACAACCAAGCAGCTCATTATTAGAAACCTTTAACAAACTATTTCAAACTTGTTTAGTTCATATGTAAATGTAATAATGGTGAAAAGATATATAACAGGAAATGCTCATGTAAATAAAAATGACATCAGTGTGTGGAAACATTGCCTTGTTTTCCCTAACCTATCCCGTCCCCACTGTCCCCAGGTGACAGTGACCACCATTGGCTACGGGGACAAGATTCCTCAGACGTGGATAGGGAAGTGCATCGCCTCCTGCTTCAGCGTCTTCGCCATCTCCTTCTTCGCTCTGCCTGCAGTAATTACCCCTCATCTTCCTCCTCTTCTTCCACAATAAACTAAATAGCATAATGTGTACATAATTCATAATACACATTGCCTTCCATCAATACTGTGTTGTTTGGTGAGTAACCCAGTTAGTCCTCTGAGGGGAAGCCTCAGTGTGCAGCTCCAGGTCCTCCTGTGGTTTCACAGTGTCATGATGCCTTTCTCTCTCTCTCTGTCTCTCTATCTCTCTCTCTCTCTCCAGGGTATACTGGGCTCGGGCTTTGCTCTGAAGGTGCAGCAGAAACAGAGACAGAAACATTTCAACAGACAGATCCCGGCTGCAGCCTCACTAATCCAGGTACTGACAGTCAGACAGACTGACAGACAGACAGACAGACAGACAGACAGACAGACAGACAGACAGACAGACAGACACCAGTCAATCACTCACTCTGTCCTGTCTGGGATCTCAACAGCTGTGTATAGGAGAGAATATGTATAGGAATGAGTGTGTAGATAGAGCTTAAACACAGTGATGACACAGGATGTACTGTAGGCCGCTAAACCTCTCTAGGACCAGGTCTGGTCTGGTCTGACGCACGCCATCTTTGATTCAGTACTTTACTCATGTAACAACTCCAGGCCAGGATGTCAGAGAGGTTGAATTAAAACATGTCCAAGACCACTAAATCTCCTGAATTCTTTAAATAACACATTTGTTCCCTCCAGATCTTGCCAATGTAAGCTTAAAAAAAACAAATAAAAGGAGTAGCAGTGTTTGTAGTCTGCACATGTCCTGGAAAAGGTGAGCTGTCCTGTCCTGTTCTCTCCCAGACAGAGACGACAGGCAAATAGCAGCCAGTTTATTCACCAAGAGCTGGCCATCACAAGGATCACATTGACTCTGAACATACAAAGAAGCCCACAGCTGCATTTACATAGAGACTCCTTATTGTGGTGACATTTAAGAAACGTAGAGACACTGAATTTACATGATGATGATGATGATGACGGTGCAGAGCTAAAAATGGACTGGCTATATGAATGGGTATATGAATGGTTATATGCAGTGGTGGAAAAAGTACCCATGTCACACCCTGGTGCTGGGACTCATTATTGTTTATCCAGGGTGTGTGCAGTCTATGTGTTTATGTTCTAGGTTGGGTGTCTAGGTTGTTGTTTTTCTAGGTTTGTTCAATGACTCCCAATCGGAGGTAACGAGTGTCAGCTGTTCGGCTCGTTATCTCTGATTGGGAGCCATATTTATTCTGTATGTTTTCCTGTGGGGTTTGTGGGTTTTTGTTTCCTTGTTGCTGTCTGTATCAGTAGTGGAACTTCACGTATCGTATTTTGTTGTTTTCTTCGTGGTTGCTTTTATTAATAAAGTCATCATGTTTCTCGGAACACGCGCTGCGCGTTGGTCTCATCCTTCACACGATCGTGACAGAAAAACCCACCACAACAAGACCAAGCAGCGTGTGAAGCGGCAACAGGACCCAGCCATAAAGGATTCATGGACATGGGAGGAGATTCTGGATGGTAAGGGGCCTTGGGCACAACCGGGAGAGTATCGCCGTCCTCGTGAAGAGCTGGAGGCAGCTAAAGCCGAGAGGCGGCGATATGAGGAGGCAGCACGGAGGCAAGACTGGAAGCCTGTGGGTACTACCCAAGAATTTCTTGGGGGGGGGCTAAGAGGGAGTGTGGCGAAGTCAGGTAGGAGACCTGCGCCTACTCCCTGGACTGACCGTGGAGAGCGAGAGTACGGGCAGACACCGTGTTACGCAGTTGAGCGCATGGTGTCTCCTGTACGCAGGCATAGCCCGGTTCGGTACAGTCCAGCTCCACGTATCGGCCGGGCCAGATTGAGTGTTGAGCCGGATGTCATGAAGCCGGTCCCACGCATCAGACCACCAGTGCGTCTTCTCGGGCCGGCGTACATGGCACCAGCCTTACGCATGGTGTTCCCGGTTCGCCCACATAGGCCGGTGCGGGTTAGTCCACCTCCCCGTACTGGTCGGGCGACGGGGAGCATCAAGCCGGGTAAGGTTGGGCAGGCTCAGTGCTCAAGGGGGCCAGTACGCCTGCACGGTCCGGTGTTTCCGGCGCCACCTCCCCGCTCCAGCCCAGTACCACCAGTACCTACACCACGCACCAGGTTTCCAGTGCGTCTTCAGAGCCCTGTGTCTCCTCCACGCACTGGCTCTATGGTGCGTGTCTCCAGCCCTTTACCACCAGTGCAGACACCACGCACCAAGCCTCCTGTGTGTCCCCCGAGTCCTGTGCGTCCTGTTGTTGCTCTCCGCACTAGCCCTGAGATGCGTGTCCTCAGCCCGGTACCTCCAGTTCCGGCACCACACATCAGGCCTACGGTGCGTCCCCAGGGCCAAGCATGCCCTGTTGCTTCTCCCCGCACTAGCCCTGTGATGCGTGTCCTCAGCCCGGTACCTCCAGTTCCGGCACCACGCAACAGGCCTACGGTGCGCCTCAGACGGCCAGAGTCTGCCGTCTGCCCAACGGGGCCTGAACTGTCCGTCTGCCCAACGGGGCCTGAACTGTCCGTCTGCCCAACGCCGTCTGAACTGTCCGTCTGCCCAACGCCGTCTGAACTGCCCGTCTGCCCAACGGCGCCTGAACTGCCCGTCTGCCCAACGCCGTCTGAACTGTCCGTCTGCCAAGCGCCGCAGGAGCTGCCCGTCTGCCATGAGCCTGCAAAGCCGCCCGTCTGCCATGAGCCTACAGAGCCGTCCGCCAGACCGGAGCCGCTAGAGCTCTCCGCCAGACAGGAGCAGCCAGAGCCTTCCGCCAGACAGGATCAGCCAGAGCCTTCCGCCAGACAGGATCAGCCAGAGCCTTCCGCCAGACAGGATCAGCCAGAGCCTTCCGCCAGACAGGATCAGCCAGAGCCGTCCAGCCGGGATCCGCCAGAGCCGTCCAGCCGGGATCCGCCAGAGCCGTCCAGCCGGGATCCGCCAGAGCCGTCCAGCCGGGATCCGCCAGAGCCGTCCAGCCGGGATCCGCCAGAGCCGTCCAGCCGGGATCCGCCAGAGCCGACCAGCCAGGATTCGCCATTCAGCCTGGTACTGCCCCTTAGTCCGGTACTGCCCCTTAGTCCGGTACTGCCCCTTAGTCAGGTGCTGCCCCTTAAACCGGTGGGGGTCATTTGGAGGAGGCTACATAAGCGGGAAGTGACTATGGTGGGGTGGTGGTCTAGGCCGGAGCCAGAACCGCCACCGAGGAGGTATGCCCGCCCAGCCCTCCCCTGTTTGGGGGTTTTGAGGCGCGGTCGCAGTCCGCGCCTTTAGGGGGGGGGTACTGTCACACCCTGGTGCTGGGACTCATTATTGTTTATCCAGGGTGTGTGCAGTCTATGTGTTTATGTTCTAGGTTGGGTGTCTAGGTTGTTGTTTTTCTAGGTTTGTTCAATGACTCCCAATCGGAGGTAACGAGTGTCAGCTGTTCGGCTCGTTATCTCTGATTGGGAGCCATATTTATTCTGTATGTTTTCCTGTGGGGTTTGTGGGTTTTTGTTTCCTTGTTGCTGACTGTATCAGTAGTGGAACTTCACGTATCGTATTTTGTTGTTTTCTTCGTGGTTGCTTTTATTAATAAAGTCATCATGTTTCTCGGAACACGCGCTGCGCGTTGGTCTCATCCTTCACACGATCGTGACAACCCAATTGTCATACTTGAGTAGAAGTAAAGATACCTTAATAGAAAATGACATAAGTAAAAGTGAAAGTCACCCAGTAAAATACTACTTACATTTACATTTCAGTCATTTAGCAGACGCTCTTTTCCAGAGCGACTTACAGTTAGTGAGTGCATACATTATTTTATTTGTTTATACTGGCCCCCTGTGGGAATCGAACCCACAACCCTGGCGTTGCAAACGCCATGCTCTACCAACTGAGCTACATCCCTACTTGAATAAAAGTATTTTGTTTTAAATATACTTAAGTACCAAAAGTAAATGTAATTGCTAAAATATACCTAAGTATCAAAAGTAAAAGTATAAATAATTTCAAATTCCTTATATAAGTAATGTAATTAAGCAAATTTACGGATAGCCAGGGGCACACGCCAACACTCAGACATCATTTACAAACGAAGCATTTGTATTTAGTGAGTCCGCCAGATCAGAGGCAGTAGGGATGACCAGGGATGTTCTCTTGGTAAGTGCGTGAATTGGACCATTTTCCTGTCCTGCTAAGCATTCAAAATGTAACATACTTTTGGGTGTCAGGGAAAATATATGGAGTAAAAAGTACATTATTTTCTTTAGGAATGTAGTGAAGTAAAAGTAAAAGTTGTCAAAAATATGAATAGTAAATTAAAGTACAGATACCCCCAAAAAACGACTTAAGTAGCACTTTAAAGTATTTTTACTTAAGTACTTTACACCATTTGTGATATGAATGGCTATATGAATGGCTATTGGATTTTTCACAAAAAAATGTCAGGTTGAAGTTGTGAAACCAGGAATCTACTTCAGAGGGAAGAGTTGTCTCTGTCAGAGCACAGTGTTGGCCTTAAACACTGATCCAAGGTCAATTTAGCTGTTGTCCACCTAATGGTTGTTAGGACAGGTCTGATCCTAGATCTGTGCCTAAGGGCAGCTTCTACTCAGAGCTGAGATAATGTTCAGGTGATCAGCTCACCCTCTGGGTTTACCCTGGGTAAATATGATAGGATTCAAACACTTATCACACTGGTTCACAGTTTGTCCATCCTCTTCCTCAGACGCTGTGGCGCTGCTATGCAGCAGAGAAACCAGAAGGCTGTCCCGCCACCTGGAAGATGTATGTCCTCACCGGAGACTACATTCCCACCATTAACTCTGAAAACAACAACCCAAACCTCAGAAACAAGGTAAACACTACATCACTTCTTCAGTTATAACAAACACAATACTGCAAGTCTATACACACTTTTTACACATTTATCCCTGTTCAGAGAAGCAACCGTTTGCCTCTGCGTTCTACTGATGCACTATAACTGCATTGTCAATCAACAGCTAATATATCTGGTCAACCTGTCTCTTGGAGAGCTTGCATCCTGTCTCAATTCCCAGAGGAGATGTCAGAAAGAGAGCTGCCCTCAGGAAAAAGCTGTTTGGTGGTGATATGAGCCTTCCATCTGGCTGACAGACAGACGGACATATAGTATTATACCCTTTGACAGTGTGGTTTTTACCTTTGAGAACTACATTAGCTATGTGGTGGTGCTTAGAGCATGGATCTACGAAAGAACAAGTTAAGCCCCCCACCCACTCCCTTTCACCATCTCAACCCCCCGTATCCCCTACCGCTCGAGGCAAGAGCCAGTGAGCCCCCCAGGATGATTCCGGGCCTTTGTCTCCCCCACACAAAGACACAGTCAGTTGAGATGATGTCACTGCCGCCTTTCTCATGGGAGGAAACCTTTGTGTTGGAAGAACAACAACAAAAAATTCTTTGTTTAGCATTGAACCCACACATATTGGGGAGAGTGAAGGGTGCTTCCGTCCCTTTCTGTTTCGGCTTATGACTTCTCCTTCTCTCTCTCTCTCTCTCTCTCTCTCTCTCTCTCTCTCTCTCTCTCTCTCTCTCTCTCTCTCTCTCTCTCTCTCTCTCTCTCTCTCTCTCTCTCTCTCTCCTCTATCCCTCTCCCCTCTGTCTCTCTCCTCTATCCCTCTCCCCTCTGTTCCTAATGAGTCATTCAGGATTCAGACCCATTCTAGTATTTGGACAGGACTGTGGGCCAGTGTCAATGCCAGGAGACTGTGTGTGTCACTGAGTAAAAATCATTACGTTTCTATAAAGCAGTCAGTCAGTGACGTGCCGCGGTGCTGCCTCTAGGAGTTGGAGTGGAGCACAATGAAGGTCCCGGGGAATTCAGAGACTCAAAGAGTGTTGACCTCAGTTAAACCAGCACAGATTAGGAGACATGGCCTTAATCACCATGCTATAGTGCAGGGAGATTTGACTAACACATTGAAATGTCAGAAGTCTGTTATTTGAAGAGGTTTAAGGGTGCACAAATCATTGCTTACAAAACAGATACTGAGGTCTCGGTGTTCTGAATGGTTAGCATCAAAGTTTACTGGTTAGTATATGCCATGTTAGAAAATAGCAAATGAGGAATGAACGACAAGTTATAGTGCTAACCCCCCCCCCCCCCCCCCCCAAAAAAAACAAACTTGTCTAACATATGGAGGTAGGGATTGGCCACATGTGACCTTTGACCTCACCTGTCCATTCCAACAGGAGTACAAAACCTGACTAGGAAAACTCCTGGCCCTGAGTATAACCGATGCTGAGTTTATGTTCAGGACAGCCCTGGTGATGCTTTCTTGTGTCTGTCTCTGTCTTGTCCTCAGAACAAGCGCACCAAGAGGAAACTAAAGATGGTTCGTGACAACGGCTCCATGACCATCCTTGGAGGGAGGAACATGTCCATTCCTCAGATCACCTTCGACCACATCGAAGATAACGACGAGAAGAAAGAGGTCTTTCTAGAAGAACCCCCAGGTATATAACAGAAGAAAAACACGAAGCAGATTTAACTTCTTTAGGGAAACAGCCCTAATGTTGGAAACATACATCATTATGTTGTCTTCCAGAGTCACATACATTTTTTTCCAAGCTATAGCTCATGCTATTTCACATACAGCAAGTTTTTAAAGGACCAAAGAGGTTTGGTCTGCTTTGTGTTTTAATTTTTGCCATGGAAAAAATATTGTGATACTGGTATCGTCCTGGCCCTAGTTTCTGTACATAGACAGTTGGTCATCTTACAGATTCTCCTATTGCTTGGCTTCAAGTGAAGATAGATACTGCCATACTGGGCATATCTGAACACATTATGTGTAAAGTGGTATAGGTAATGAGCTCATTGGCATTAGAATTAAGCAATAAGGCCGAAAGGAGTGTGGTATATGCCCAATATACCACGGCTAAGGGCTGTTCTTACGCACGACGCAACGCGGAGTGCCTGGACACAGCCCTTAGCCGTGGTATATTGGCCATATATCACAAACTCCTGAGGTGCCTTATTGCTATTATAAACTGTTTACCAACGTAATTAGTGCAGTAAAAATAAATGTTTTGTCTTACCTGTGGTATACGGTCTAATATACCACGGCTGTCAGCCAATAAGCATTCAGGGCTCAAACCACCCAGTTTATAATGTGTAATATGTAGTGGTTTGTTTTAAGAGGAACACATAGACTACTTGAACCAGCATATACAATAACAGTGCTTTCTAGGAACTGTTAATACTAGGAACTAAAAAACAGGACTTGACACTACATTACATTGCAAGCTGACACCCATGCCTTAATTGACGATAAGTTTCAATTGGGAGCATGACATACTGTTGAATGGTGCCCTGTGTTGAGGTGTTTTTGAGAGAAATAACCATGGGTCATGCATGTTTGAGCCAGCTGTGTTAGAAGCAGATGTCCTATGAGGAGCATATTCCAAAGTGAATTACCACTGTAATGAAACAGTTTTCATCTGACAAAATAATGTATTTAAGGGCCCCTTGAAATGATGTCATCCAGCGTTATGTTTTGCGCCTTGAAAATCCATCATTTCAGTAAATAGAGATATTGGATGCTTGGTGAGTATACCCTGGTGACTTGACTGGTTAGGGGCCAGTGGAGACAAGAGAGAGAAACATTTGCATGGCACAGTTGGAGTCCTCTGTTTGAGATTCCAACAGTGATATAGAAATAGGAGTAGCTCAATCCTCTTGGGAGTAGACTATATGACAGACGTGAGGATACAATGTTCTTATCCGTAGCTATTTACCATTCAGTTGAATGCTCAAGATGTAAATTGTAAGTAATGATGAATCTGTGCAATGTCTGCCATGTGGATGGAACATGACACAGTGGTGTGATTCTCATAAAGAGAGAGAGGGAAAGAAGAGGGATGGTGGGTAGGGCTGAGGACTGATTGAGGTGTTGTGTTGTGTAGCTGGTTGTTCATGATACAAATCAAATCAAAATTGATTGGTCGCGTACACAGATTTGCAGATGTTATCACAGGTGCAGTGAAATGCTTGTGTTTCTAGCTCCAACAGTGCATTAATAACTAGCAATACAAAATAAAATAAACTATACACACATAATCCCCCCCCACAAAAAAAAAAAAACATTATATTGGATGAACCATGACTAGAATACAGTATATAAAGTAGGTAAAACAGTATGTAAACATTATTAAAGTGACCAGTGTTCAATGACTATGTACATAGGGCAGCAGTCTCTAAGGTGCAGGGTAGAGTACCGGGTGGTAGCCGGCTAGAACAGTGACTATGATTCAGGGTAGGGTACTGGGCGGAGGCCGGCTAGTGGTGACTGTTTAATAGTCTAATGACCTGGAGATAGAAGCTGTTGCTCAGTCTCTCGGTCCCAGCTTTGATGCACCTGTACTGTCTCCGCCTTCTAGATGGTAGCAGGGTGAACAGGCCGTGGCTCGGGTAGCTGAGGTCCTTGATGATCTTCTTGGCCTTCCTGTGACACCGGGTGCTGTAGATGTCCTGGAGGGCAGGCAGTGTGCTCCCCGCACCACTCTCTGGAGAGCCATGTGGTTGCGGCGGGTGCAATTGCCGTACCAGGTGGCAATACAGCCTGACAGGATGCTCTCAATGGTGCATCTGTAAAAGTTTGTGAGGGTCTTAGGGGCCAATCCACATTTCTTCAGCCTCCTGAGGTTGAAGAGGCACTGTTGCGCCTTTTTCACCACGCTGTCTGTGTGAAGGGACCATTTCAGGTTGTCAGTGATGTGCACGCCAATGAACTTGAAGCTTTTGACCCTCTCCACTGCGGCCCCATCGATGTGGATGGGGGCATGCTCTCTCTGCTGTCTCCTGTAATCCCAGATAATAATAATAATAATAATAATAATATTTTATTATTTTATCCAAAGCGACTTACAGATCAGCTCCTTTGTTTTTTTTATATTGAGGGAGAGGTTATTTTCCTGGCACCACTCCACCAGGGCGCCCACCTCCTCCCTGTAGGCTGTCTCATCGTTGTTGGTAGTCAGGCCTACCACAGTTATGTCATCAGCAAACTTCATGATTGAGTTGGAGATGTGGGTGGCCACGGAATACAGGAAGGGGCTTTTAACTCACCCCCCTGTGGGGCCCCCGTGTTGAGGGTCAGCGTGGCGGAGGTGTTGTTGCCTACCTTCACCACTTGGGGTCGGCCGTTCAGGAAGTCCAGGACCCAGTTGCACAGTGAGGGGTTCAGGACCCTGAGCTTAGGGATGAGCTTGGAGGGCACTATGGTGTTGTAGGCTGAGCTGCAGTCGATGAACAGCATTCTTACACAGGTATTTATCTTGTCCAGGAGGGATAGGGCAGTGTTCAGTACAATGGTGACTGAGTTGTCTGTGGATCTGTTGGGGCGTTATGTAAATGGAAGTGGGTCTAGGGTGTCGGGTAAGATGGAGGTGATATGGTCCTTAACTAGCCTCTCAAGATACAGCGCTTGAATGTCAGTCAGTCAGTCAGAGAGAGGAACAGGGGCCCTGTGATAGACAATCAGACACAAAATGGCTGCCACGTGGCTGGGTTAGGCTCCAGCACCAGCAGGGCCAGACCAGGCCAGATGGAAGTCATTAGAGTCAGTGGTGATTAGAGGTTATGTATACAAGTTCTTTACTGCTCCACTTGTCCACTTCACAGACATCAGACACTCACACTATATGATTGATTTTACCTGAAAAAAATACCAGAAAATACTTCAAAGTAGGAGGTAGACCTATTTTGGCAAGAGTCAGTCAGAAAGCTAAAGTGTTTTGTGTTGAATTAGTGATAACATTCCCACAGATTTTACATTCAGTTACTCAGTATTCACCTGATGTTGCTAGCTAGCCATGTAGTCTCACCTGTTGTTGACTAAGTTGCTATTTGGATTATTTTCCCAAACTCTCGTGCCCTGTCCATCCACCTCCAGATGAAATCTGGTGGTCCATACTGGTGCTGCTGAGTCCCATTACTCCATATTAATGATAGATTGGACTTTTCCATTGCACCATCTAACGGTGGGGTGGGGTGGGGTGGGGGGGACTTCCTGTGTAAACCCCTAACCCCTGCCAAATGAATCGTCCCAGTCTGGAGGATAATAAGTGTGCTTTATGAGTTTTTCCTGTCAAGGCACATAATCATAAAAGGAGGGAGAGGGACATAAACGCAGAGCATCACCAGTAGAAAAAGTAGTAATGGGGGAAAATGCTATCTTGTTTGGTGCTTAATTGGAGGGATATAACTTTGATAATGAACAGGAACATATGTCTTACTGCCTTTGAACTTTAGAGGGGGGAAAATGCATATTTGTCAAGTTGCATGTATTTTGGATGTTGAGGCTAGTTAGTGGAGCCAAGGCTTTTGAAAGGCTGTCTGTTGATGTCATAAAGACATGTAAGTAGCCATACTCACCATACTCTCAACAGCATGTTGTCACTAATGATCATGTTTAGAGTCCAGGCAACATGGTGTGCTTTCTACTGCTAACAGTGCAGAAAAACAGACATCTGCAGATTCAACTATCTTTGCAGATTATCCTCCTGAGACCCAGCCCATTGACTTATGTCCACTGTAGTGGGCATTTGAGTTTCATCCCTCTTCTTGGAATCTTTTGTGCAAGTCTCTTAATTCCTGATGTACTGTACAGAGGACATCCTGGGCTTTTCAGTGATATGTCATTTGATTGGCTGGGAGGCCGGGAACCGCCTCTATCTTTCCTTTCAAAATGGACGGCATAGGAACAAGCACATTTTATGGAAAGATGAGAGGTAAGTCAAATATTGTTTGTCTATGGTTTTGTTACTATGATAATCATATATTTTCTTGTTCATGAAGGTGTTAGGAATCATATATTTAGTTCTGATAGCAACTAAATTATGTATCTTTTTAAAGATTTGCCATTTTATGAATGTCAATTATAGTGGACATCAGGACTATCTTCATGTAAATAATGACTCCACATTGTAGTAGGAAACAGAACTGAAGCAGAAAGAATTATTTACCGAATAGTCGAGGGAGATTCAGATTTGGAGTTGTCAGATGATGAGAGAGATGAGGATAAGTTTCAACCAGTGATACAAAATGGTGACGAAGAAGAGGAAGACAATGCAGAAGGCTCAGTTGAAGGGACAGATGCAGACACAGACACAGATACAGACAGGGATGAACAGGAAACTCGTCGCCCTCTGTGGGCCAGGAGTAACATGTATGTTTGATGCAGTTCCACAATTTTAAATTCAGCTGCATTGAGTATTTAAACTGTTATTACTTATCATTTATTATTCTTTTTTCCTTCATATCAGATTTGCACCTGTGTTACCTGGGCTTCCTGTGTGTCAAGATGACCCTACAACACGTGCAGACTGGAGTCCAATTGAATACTTTTCACAGTACATTGACAACAAGGTCTTTGAAGATTTGGCAACATACACAAATCAAAGAGAGCTGCAAATCAAAGGAGTGTGCATGAACACCACGCCACAAGAAATAAAAATCTTCTTGGGCATTTCAGTCCACATGGCCTGCCTTGGCTATCCCAGAATTAAAATGTTTTGGGCCAACAAAACTAAAGTGCCAGTCATAAGTAGCAAAATGACTAGGGATAGATTCTTCAGGATAAGAAATTCCCTCAAGATTGTCAATGACCTGGCTGTAACAGAGGAAACAAAGAAGGCAGATATTCTTTGGAAAGTCAGGCCAATACTCGATCGTGTGCGCCAAGGCTGTCTCAGCCTTGCAAAGCCAGAAAGGGTCTGCATTGATGAGCAAATCATCCCATTCACAGGCCGTTGTCCAGTCAGGCAATATGTTCCCGGCAAGCCAAACCCTACTGGCCTAAAGGTCTTTGTCCTTGCATCCCCAAATGGTCTGATGCTTGATTTTGAAGTCTACCAAGGGAAGAATACCTTTACAGTCCAAAGGTTAGGAGTTGGAGCTGCAGCAGTTCTACGCATGGTTGAATCTGTTCCAACAGGAAGCCACATATTCTTTGACAGGTACTTCACAACCATAGATCTATTGGATGCATTGCTGGCAAAGGGCCTTCCTGCAACTGGAACTATAATGAAGAACCGTGTCCCAAAGCTGTGCCAGCTGCCAGTAGACAAACAGTTGAAAAAAGAGGGGAGAGGAACATCAGTGTCAGTGGCCAGAAAGAGTCCTGAGCTGGCCATCACAAAATGGTTCGACAACAAACCAGTGCTCATGGCATCCACTGTACATGGGAAAGACCCAGAAG